CAGACCATAGCAGATGAGATTTTTCCAAGGTAAAAGTATGGCCCCAGGAGAAAGAGGGAAGGACAGAACTTGAAGCCATCTACATTAAAGGAGGAAAAGGAAGTAATGTAAAAGATTGAAAAAGAGGCAGAAAGGCATATAGCCTGTACATATCCTCATGTACACTTTAAATCACCTATATATTAGTTATAATATCTAATATAACATAAATACTGTATAAATAGATGTTTCTTCTGAGGAGAAAAAAAGAGAGCTGAGTCTCGGGAACAGGTAAAAAGAAAGTTTTTGGCATGAAGGAAATACTATAAAGAGATAATACAAGATATTGGATTTGACAAATATGGGACAACTGAATATTGTCCCATATTTAAAATTGAGGTGGGAATTTGAAGTGAAAAAACACGTAGAACTAGAGGGAAAGAAACTGGGGAAGTTTTGTTTTGCCTTTGTTTGTTTTTGGAAAATGGAGGAAAAGTCAACAATGAAGTCAGGAGGGTGGGATGGGCTGAGCATCCAGAAGAGAGAAGCAAACAAGTACAGGAAACAGAAACAGGAACTGATTAGAAGTAAGCACATTATAAATCCTACAGACATAGGTAATCATAAATTTACAGTTGAGTGGGATCAAAACAGGCCCAAGATTTTTCCCAATACTTTTCAGCAACCAGGAAAACACACATGGTTGGGTTGGGCCAAGTTTGAGGAGTATTCAGATGAGTGTGATAAAAATGGTCAGGGAGTGAAAGCATTCAGGGCCAGGGAGGGTCGTTAAACTGATCTTAGAGAAGTGAGGAAAACGTCAAAGGGAGAAAATGACAGAAAGCCTGGGAAATGGACGGAGGACATCAGAAGACTGGAGTCTCCAATGTTATGGCAAGTTTCGTGGGTGTCAGGAAATGGCAGCAGTTATGGGACCGTAATTCATACTCAGAATTTCAAAGTTTCCAAGTAGAACAATTCTAAAGCACTAGTCATTCAAAGAAGTATCACTGTTGGCAGCAAAAGATGGTAAGAGCTCCTCCAAGGATATTTGTTACTATAGCTAAAACCAGTTACTGGAGTTCACATCTAGGTACTCTGCAATATTTAAATATTGAAAAGTTAAAGTAAAATTTCAGCAGAGGAGGTGAAGTCTTTGGAACACTGGTGCCCTAGAACTTGTAAAACTTCCCGTTGGCTGGAACCTCTGCAGACCACTCCTAACACTCTCTTGTGTGTTCTGAAGAAAAACTACTACGCCAGTTTGAGTTGGGTTTCCACTACTTGCAACACAGGTCCTACCTGGTATTACAAATAACAAACAAGCAAAAACTGGCTTAAGGAATAAAGGAGAAGTATAGGCTTATTTAACAGGAAAATCCAGTGGTATTTCTGGCTTCAGGATTGGTTTGATTCAGGGGCTCAATGATGTCATCAGGAATATGTCTTTTCTTGTCACTGCTCTGTGTCCTCATGGTGTCAGCTCTACCGTGAGGCTGGGTTCTTACATGGTGTGCTATTATGACACAAGACACCATTCTTACACGGTATGCTACATTGTGCAACGTAACACTCCATTCAAAAGGAAAGAAAGGACTGCTTTCTCAGAAGGTTCTAAAAAAAGGTTACTCTCTAATCCCACTATTCTAAAATAGATAACATGCCAGTCCCTGAACTGTTGCCAAGGGATGCAATAATCCTACTAGTTATATCTAAAAGTGTAGTTATCATTCCCACAAAATCCATTCCCTGCATGGGGGAGGTATGGTTAATGAAGTAAGAATCAGGGTAGTTAATAAGGGAAATGTGCATAGATATATATTATACTACTTTCTTTGTGGTTTATAAGTGATATTGCTCTCTGAATTGGGATTCTATAATATACAACAAAGACATAAGCTAAGAAGAATATTAACTTAGACCAGATGACATCACCTACTATAATGTTAAACTGCTAAAAAATATTTCATTATGTCCTTTTTCCTGCTTATGAACTCATGTTTCAAATTACATTTCAGTTGATGAAGGAAGTTTTTTTCAGCAGCTATAGACAACTGCTCTGTTAATTATCACTTTGAGGGCAGTCCAGTTCCCAGTCTGCATCTCAAGATATGCTTTTTCCTTTATTCTAAGAAAAAGCATTACTGTCTTGAGGCATAAGGTGAATTCTCTTTAGTTTGGAAATGTGATTCTTTTCTTTATCAGAATGAAAAAGAATAAAAGCCTGTGTAGTTTGAGTCTATTGCAACCTTTTTCCTGTATGTGAATTTAAAGTTCATCTTATCCTATGGCAGAAACATACCTAATTAATTTGGCATTCTTTTCTATGTAACTTTTCCTGGAGGAACATCTAGTTTGATTCATGATGATCACCTAATTAATAAGTTAATTTTACTTCCTATATGTGCTTTGCAACTGTCCTACTAGAATAAGGAGAAAATGTCATGGTGAATTCTGCAAGTCCTTTGGTTATTTCAGTCACTCAAAAAGATTCTTATGTTCTGAGAAGTGTGTTGGGCATTAAAGTGCAATATATCATCCAAGCCCTCCAGGAGGGCATTCACCCAGGGAAACAAGCCATGCACTTACAAAACAGTTAAGGAACAGGGCAGAGCAGGGTGGAATTAAAGGTCAAAGTGGCAATAGAGTAAGGGTCTCAGGAAAACAGCGCAGGAGTGGGTGGCAGGGGGGTGAAGATGATTGTGATTCTGAGCTGCTAAAGGAGATTCCTAGAAAAGGAAGGCTTGAGTGAAAGGATGGTGTTGGAGGACAGAGAACCTGTGATAACGGAGATTACTCTAGAACATCTGATCAGATGGACAAGGTACTAAGAAGGGGCTAAAACGACCTGGTTGAAGGGGAAATGACAAAGGCCAGGATGACAGCTGCAAGCTGATGTAAGAATCCAGAAGTGAGGTAATAAGCAGCAGGGTCAGTTGGCATCTCCCTTCTTCAAAGAAGGATGGCAACAAAAGAGAAGAGGGTAAACTTTGATCTTGGTTTTCAATCTTGTAACGGTGTCAACAGTGGGGCTGAGTTTGAAGTCAGAGTGGGGCATCCAAGGGAAATCATCTTGTAAACAGTTGTGGGGAGGAGTGAATACATTAAAACCAAAGTGGGAGTAGATGCAATTGGAAGTAGATTTCCAAATTACTCCCAGCTAACTACACAGATTCTCTCTATTATAGCAACAATCATACTAGTCATGTGGTTGAATTCTTTTGGATTGTACTTATAGGATCACTCTCCTTCCAGAAACTACTTTAACAGAGAGGTCCAACCAGATGTCCAAACAAAATAATGCTAACTAGCGGCCTTAGTGACCTAAAGAAAATACTGAAATTTTCAAAAAGCCTAATGTCCATCCAGGGAGAATATGGCTTATTGTGTGCAGGTAACATGACCTGTTACCTATTTAATATGAAGAAAAGATCCAGCCCCAGCACATATATGTGCCTACATATGTCACCAAATTCTAAATTTAGGCAGTCTCAAAGTTTAGTGCACATTATCTAGGGCTTTTACATAAAATGCAGATTCACTGGTTCTAATGGAGCCCTACAATTTACATTATTAATTCCCCCAGATGATCCTGCTTCAGGAAAACATTCCTTGAAAAAAATACTAACTCCCAGGTGTTAGTCAAGCTCTCTTGTCCAGTGTGCCTGGCCCATTCCAGGTGTTCAGTAAATATGTGTTGTACTGAATTAATGTGTTCCCAGCCCTAACAGCAATAAGGCACCTACATGGCTTCTTGAACACCAATATATATATGAAGTCTTCCTAAGAAAAGCCCTCATTTGAGTTATTCTACATAAGAGAATTTAGCAAATTGTTATCTACGTGAACTTACTTTACTTGAAGTCAGCTAAGTCTAGGATTTATCTTGACTTTCTTGACAAGCCATTAGCCCCAGTCAAATAAATTCTCTTTCTTTATTTTTCCATTTACCACACTAGTGACTCCATGGGGGGGGGGGAGGAGGAGAACGTTAAAGATGGAAAAAAACTCCTTATCCAATAAAATCCAATGTAAATACGAACCATACTATACTCATTTTTTTTTCATTTACTACAAATGGGATTTCTAGACTGTGGGCCTTAAATACTTAGCTAATTGCTGAAGATAATTTTTGAGTCCTTGCTAGTCCTTTAATACTACTGTGACATATTCATTGATTTTTTTATTTGAAACATTGATTTTTAGGATAAAAATCTGGCATTTTAAATTAAATGGTATATGACTTATTATAAGCAACTTTCAATACATTTTTTCAACCCAAAAACAGTCAAGGGCTCCCAAAAAACACACAACTGGGGAATTTATGGGAATTGCACACAAAAGCCTTGCTTTAAAGTTTGTTAATATGAACTAATGAAGCACATAATCCACAAATGACTTTTTATGTTTTGTCCTAGGCTTCAAAGTACATTTTATTTTAAAGGTATCTGATTAACTTTCTACTTACTCATGTTCTTGTTCCTTCTACGCAAAACATTTTAATCAGAGATGATTGTTTGTATATCTCTAAATACCTTTTAAAACCTCCAAAACTAATTACTTAAATCATTTTTATACAAAATTTTATCAAGACCAATTTAGTCTGCAGAGTTACTTATAAAAGAACAATATTATATAGCTATTTTATAAGTGTAACTAATGCTCCAGTATTGTCTCCCACCACTGCCTAGTAATCTTCTGAATACTGAGCAATGTGTACACACACTGGGAGATGGAAATTAACCTAAATTGTGCATATTATAAATGTTCCAACATCCGTGCCTATTTATGAGCTTAAAATCTTCTTAGGCATCTTCATCTGAGTGGCTACTTTAAATTTTTAGTTGACTCCAGTAACCCATCAAGCAGATATTAAAGTACAATTTATGAAAATACATGGAAACTTCGATATATATTCCAGACATGAAAAATCTTATGGTTGCTAAAGAAATATAATACTTTAAGAGATTTTAAAGTAGTTTTTTCCTGAATGTCCTTTTTTCTCCAAACATTAGACCAAGTTGCATTGTTTACAAAAATTTATTCATACAAATTTTACACACTTTATATAACAGTTATCAAAGTCCTAGTTATAGATATCATGTGTGTAATAATACTTGGTTAAGATGTTTTTATAATCAGTGGCACACAAAGTAAGAGCTTCAAGACTAACATCTACCTAAATTATCACTATAGCATAAATTTGCTCCAGTTTAGTAAGGCTCTTGGCATTTCTAAAAAGTATACAAAAGATTAAACTGGGTGATCACTGTAAAATGCTTGCAACTAGCCACGGGAACACTAAATTAGACTTCATAAATAAAAGGTTAACTAGAGCCCTATTTCACCACTAACAGCTGACACAAATACAGAAAACTCTGCCCATTATCCAAGAAACAAATAATTAAGACTAAAATGCAAGCTGATGTGTTGCAGCATTGTAGGGCCACTAAATAGCCATCTGTGATTCGTGGCGATTTAAAAGGCAAGAAAGGCACTAAAGCTGCAAACTGCATCCTGTGTCACTTTGCCTGAGGAGACTGCAGAATTAAAGAGAGACTGATCCTGCGCTCAGGACTCAGGCACAGATCGAATGCCTCTGTTTTCACTGTTTGCAATGTGATCTCCTGGCAGAATCCATCCTGCCTGGGAATGCAAATCCAATTCCGTTTTCTTTGATTTATGACTTCATACTGATCAAATCCGTAAAGGAAAAAGAAAGATCCTTTCAACTTTACAAGCTACGTTTAATCTTTTTCTTGTTTTTTTTTTTTGTTTGTTTGTTTGTTTTATTTTGTTGTTTATTTTCCAAAAAACTTGTGCCTAAAATTTGGGAGACTGGCTGGCTGGTTTGTTGTTGCTTGATCTGGTTGCTGGGTGAAGGTTCTTTTGTTTATAAAGATTACTCTATATGTTCAATGAGTTGACAGGAAACAGACATGCTTTCTTTAGCCAAGAAAGGATACAAGGGTAGGTTTCTCAGGGTCTGTTGGAGCTTGCTTACCTCACTCTTGACCACAGATATAAGATAGTACTCATACATATGAAGAAGAGGTTTAAATAATTTATCAGTAAAACTGAGCAACATGTGAACACTACACATTCTAATATGACAAAGGTTGGTTTTATGAAATAAATTTTACTAAGCAATAAGCCATAATGTAGAAAAATACATTTTACCTACAAACTCAATAAACAAGAAACAAAAGGTTCATATTTAGTGCATAATTACTTGGTAGCTACACAGGGGTTCCTAAACTTTACAATAAGAGCTTGCATCAAACAACCAAATAAAAAAGTAAGAAGCATTCACAAGTTTAAGAGAAGTGAATGAAAAATGGTAAACAGTACTTAAACAGTGCAGGAGGGTAGGAAGGAGGGGTCTCCAGAAAACCACAAAGAAAAGGGGTAGCTCGTACAGAGCAGGGTTCAAAGGGGAGGGTCCTGGCCATTTCACAAGATGAGAAGCATGGACAGCACTGGAGAAAAACACATTGTACTTTGCATCCATTTCCAATACCCAGCCCCAAAGTCACTCAGGCAGCAGACCAGGTGGAACTAGACTTGCCCTCAGCTTCCCAGACCCTGGGGGGCATCCTCAAACCAGCCCCTCTCCAGGGTCCTCCTCCTACTGCCTCATGCTCTGCCTCTTCCACTATGCCTCTATTTCCTTCACTTTGTTCCAATTGCCCTAATCTTGGGATATTAGGTTCCCTGGAGCATCGGGAAGTACAGAAAAGAGAGCTTCCTATCCAAGCCTCCCTTCTTTGTACAATTCCCAACTCTTCCCCCAGGGAATGGCTGACGAGAATTCTGGGGAGAAGCACAATTTGGATTGAGCTGTTGTTTTATCAGGAAAATTTCCTTCTGGGCTGAGAGTCTGAAGAGAGACAAATACACGTAAAAGTAGAATCAAAGAAAGCAGAAGTATTGGAATTGCCACCCAACCAGGGGGACAGTGCCCAGTTGAGTTAGGCTGGGATTTGAAGCAGCCTGCCTGGGAAAGAATGCCCTTCAGCAATTCTCCAAATCATTACCTCAAAATCTCCCCAGAGCAGGGCATCATTGTTTATGTACAGTAGCAAATGGTCAGTATTAATATCTTCAGGCCTGTCACAGATAAAAATACTATCCTTTTAATTCCAGTTTACAAAAATAGGAGTAATATTCAAAACAATGATTGTCTATTTTCTATTTATTTTATATAAAAACATAAACAGCTCAGGCGAATTTTCAATCCTTGTGCACACTTTGTATGAACTGCTCTCTATTATACTTATATATATATACTCTTTTTATATATTTATAATATATATCAATAATTGGTCCACAAAGTATATCTGTGCATTCTCTAGTGCTTTGTAAAAAGAAAAACAATATTATTATCAAAATATTCATTTAATGGCTTTACTTCATACATAAATACATGTTTGGATAGAACACATGAGCGATGACTGTTCAGTCAGTTTGGAAAACGACTTTTCATTGTGTCAGGGTTGTATACACAGGGTAGCTGGTAACTCATCGCTACAAATACGCTATTCTGCGTCCTTTGTTTTTAACCCTTTGTTTATACCTTTTCCCTAGGACGGCCGCCAAGTATTTCTTGACAGCCATTTGTTTCCTGTAGCGACTGTAGCTGTCCGTGAAGATTCCGTCCGAGTGGCGCTTGGAGAGCGGCTCCGAGTCGTCCTCCGCGCCGCCGCTCAGGGTCCCACTGCAGGGAAGGGGTCGGGGGAGGGTGGCAGGGCAGGAGACACAGATTCAATAGCTGCGGGGCGCAGGCGGGCCCAACCCCACGCGGGAGCCTTCCAGGAGCGCACAGGGCGCGCCCTGTCCCCCCTGGCGGCGTCGCCTTCCTCTGCCAGGGCTGAGATGGAAACCCCTGGGTCCCTCCCTCCCCACCCAGCGTTTCCTGGCGCTAGGTCCTTACAGAAGGCGCCCGTGATGGGATCCAGGCGAATGGCGGGCGATCTAAGCCTAACCTTTCTCCAAACGCTGCCCTTTGATATTTGCCCGTCCGTGCGTTTGCGCCAGACTGTCCTAACTCTGTTTATCTCGCTCCCGACGTACAGAGAAAATAACCAAAGAGCCCTAAATGCCACGCGGGCTGCTGCCGTGGACTTGGCATCGATCTTGCAATTCCTAGTCAAACATGAGCACTCCTCCCCTTCCGCACGCTAAGTTGAAAAACGTGATAATAATATAAGTCGACAGGCTGCAGGCAATATTTTTCACCTCATGAATTATTCATTGCGAAAATGTAATCTGTTTCCCCATGGGCTTTATTAAAATGTTGCCTTCTGCTGAGATATGCTTCACGCAAGCCCTATGCTCGGGGTTTGTCTGGCGTGAGCAAGAACTGTTTGTTTCCCTAAGTGTCCAAATTTGGTGATTTGTTTATTTCAATTTGAATTTTCAGTAAATGCAACCACCCCCTTCCCCTTCCCCCGAAAAAGGCATGCTTAGAGGAAATTATAGCAAATCCTCCCGCGAAGCTTGAAGGTTTTGAACGACTAGGGGGGTTTGTTTGGTTTCTCTTTCTTTTCATTCAAAACGGATCAAACACCCCAGTTCTCCTGCCTTCTTCCCCTCTCTCCAGATCTCCAGTTCTCTGGCCAAATTTAAAGTGCCACTTCAAAATCTCCACCAGTATCCCACACCCCCCACACCCCCCCAGACCCTGGAGGGCAGATTCACCCTGGGCCCCAAGTGCACGCGCGGACTTAGGAGCCGCGCCGCCCGCCCCGCGCGCGCCCGCACACACACCCGCCCCGCGCGCGCGCCACCCGGCGCGGGTTAACTCTTTCGCAAACTCTTACCCCACGCTCTTGGCCATGAGCGACTGCAGGTACTTCCTGGCGGACAGCTGGTCCAGCACTTTGCGGTAGGCCTCATTAAGGATCCCGTGGGCGACATCTCTAACGGGGAGGCAAAGGCGCGTCCAGAGTCACGGATTCTGTCCCCAAGGGGTCGAGAGACCCCGCTGGGCACGCGCGCCGGTCCGCGTGCAGGGAGGCTGACAGGGAAACCCCTAGACTCTCAGCGCAAACCTGGAGAATAACTCTCTTGGGGTGTGCCCCTGAGTGCATGCTAGGCTTGGGAGCTGGTCCTGGCCTCCGGGAATGGCAGATGTGGAGTCTGCGCCCCTTGATTCCGCTCCCTGACACTCCGCGGGCCACAGACCTTCCGGTCTCCACGCGGCCCACAGGTCCACACAGACCCGCCAGCTACTAATTTTCTGTCTCTCCCACAGGATCTGGCCTGGGAGAAGAGAGGCTTGAGAACTTTTATGGGAGGGGGGAATAAAGGCTGCTCGATGGGCCACCACGCCGCCCCTCCCGCGCCCTCCGTCCCGGGGCGCCGGAGCCCGGCTCTGGCGCGGGGCCGCGGGTCCTACCTGCTCCGCGCGGGGTAGTACAGCGCGTAGGCGTCGTGCAGCGCGGAGGCGGGGCTCCCGGCGCCCGGCGAGTCCGAGTCGTACATGTCTTGCAGCGGGTTTGCGTCCCCGTCGTACGCCTCGTCCTCCGGCCTGCAGGGTAGCCGGGGACAGAAGGAGTGGTTAGTGCAAGTCCTCCCCAGCTCTGCCAGGACCCCAAAGAAAGGGGCTGCACTGATTTTCCTTTTTCCGTAAAGGACCCCCAGGGACAAATGTCTTTTCTTCCAGGACTGGGGTGGGGGCAGAGGTAAGGAGGAGGGAACTACACCCCACAAAATTTCTTACCCCGCCAGGCGTCTTACCCACCCCTCCTTTCGCGGATAAAAGGTCGCTCTGCGGGACCGCGGGCTCAACGAGCGAAGGGAAACCGAGGCGTTTCTGCGGACCGCGCACACCTGGCCACCAAAAAGGACCGCCCCCTCCCCGCCTGGCGCCCGAGCCTCCCCAAAGTAGCGACCGGCGGGGAGGAGGAAAGCCCTAGGAGAGACTAGGCGCGGACCCAAGCGGAGACCCAAACAGGGAGGCTTGGAGCTAAAACCAAGAGGATGGCTGGGTGGGGTGTGTGGCGGCCAACTCGAGCAGCCTCCCCCACCCCAGCCTCCAAACCCAGGGGAGCCCTTCCCTGCGCAGATGTAGGTCACGGAGAACCTCCGGCTTCTATTTTGGGCAGGAGAGGATCTGGCAGGAACATGAATAATAGATGTCCCTAAACTTAGCCTGTTTGGCGGCGGCTCATATTGTGTTGTGTCCACGCCCTCCGGTGCCTCTCGCCCGGGGGAAAGTGCCAGGCACACGGGAATTTGAAAATAGCTAGGGGTGAAATAAGGGGGTTTTTTAATCCACTAAATAAACAGTTCGCTCTCGTCTGTTAGCGATAGCGAGGCACTGTCTCAACCCCGGAGCGCAGGGAAAGGGTCAACAGGGGACCAAGAGCCAGCGGGTGCTCGGCGACCTGGCAGTCGCCTTCGTCTACTGCCTAGATCTCTGATACAGCACGGGTGGGGGTGGGTTAAAACACACATCCCTCTCGCTTTGGGCCCCTGGAGAGACTTGGGATGCAGCCAGGGCAAGTGGCACTCTCTAGGCGGGGTGGAGACATACTTCGTTACTTCGCTGGCCTTTTCTCCATCCTTGGAGAGGCCGGGCGAGACGAGCACACCCCTCCGCGCCGCGCACCCAGCTTTCCTTCGGTGACGCGCCTCAGCCCTGGCTCGGGCACCCTGAACCCCGGCTTTTCTGGCCACTGCCCTGCTCCGCGCCCAGCTGCTGGAATCCTAATACAGAAGCCAGAGCCCATCGCTCCCGCCACGTCAATGGCAAACGTTCTCGGGCGCGGCTGGTAGGAGCAGCTCGGCGAGCAGAACGCGCGCCCCGCGCTGCCCCGCGCCGCGGGTGCGGACGCTGCGCGGCCGAGACGCTCCCACTGTCCGGCACGCAAGCCCGCTACTCTGGGGCTGGGAACCCGGGCAGTGCGGACCGATTAGAAACCAGGGGTTCATAAAAAAGCCAAGATTCCTCCATCCTGGGCCGGGCAGGGCTGTCCTCCTGGTCCTGCCTGCCTGCTTGCTTTCTCTTCCTCCTTCCTTGCGTCTGTTTTTCCCCCTCCCTCGTAGTCTCATTCTTTTTCTTCCTTCTTTCAAGTCGCTTTTCCTCAACCATCCCAGGCCAACACCCCCACCTCCACCCCAAGAAAATCTGGGACTCAAAACGCAGTTGGAACACAGATCCCTGGAAAGAAAGCTCTTGGGGGGCAAAGAATTCGAGTGAGGTGAAGAGGAAGGGCGGAGGAGAGAGAGGAAGACCCCGCCCCATAGTCCAGAAGGAGCTGGAACAAAGCAAAGTCCGAGAGAGCGAGCTTCGCGCTCAACCCCAGACCTGGCTCCGGAGCTGAAGTTCTCCTAACTCATCCTAAGAATAAGTAAAAGAATCCAAGCTGGGGGCCTCGCTCTGCCTATGTCCCGCGGGCCGGGTTGGGGGAGGGGAGGTGTCTCTGGCGGTCCCAAGCTCACTCTCTCTACCCCGGCCGCCGCGGGGCTGCTCGGGCTGGGGGAGGGGCGCCGAGCCGTCGCGGAGCCTGCGGGACCCTGGGGCTCCGCTCGGATCCCCGACCCCGGCCGGGTGGAGGCTGGCGGTGGCGCACTGGGGGCGCCCGGGGCGATGCTAGTAGTCTGGACCGGGGGAACTGCAGGAGGGAGACCGTGGGGAGGTGATCGTGGAAGGGAAGCCCCAGCTCCAGCTCGGCCCGGCGGCCAGTACCTACCTGATCCGGGGAAACAGGAGTCCGGCGGCGGCAGGTGAGCAGTAGACGCTGCTGTGCATTATTATCCCATAGACCAGCAGGGCCAACCCCGCTCCGCTACACATGGTCATTCTGCGCAGGACGGGAAAGAGGACACACAGCTGTGAGAACGCCCCTGGCCTTCCACCCTCCAACCCCCCAAAAACTCCCGGAGCTGGGGGAGGGACGGAGCGAAGCTCCAGCTCCCAGTACTGAGCACCACTTAGTGACAGCCGGCGCGCGCCCTGCCACTTCTTGCTTGCTATAGTTAGAAAAAAATTATGTCTGTATATACTCAGCGCTCAATAACTAGCCAGACCTGTTACGAAGGAAAGCCAACTCGTACCCTGATGCTGATGCCAGTGAACGAGTCAGCAGTCAGTGAGTCGTTCGGTTTGGTAAGATTGTTTCCCCTGCTATCCGACTCTTACCGCGGCTGGGAGAGGGTCTGCAGCCAAGTAGGACGGCGGGCGAGGGGCTCCTTCAAGTTTCTGCGCCGGAGTCACAACCGGAGAGGCATCACCGTCTGGCGTCGGTGTCTGAGAAGAAGCCGCAGGAACGAGCAGCCGCGGCAGGAGGAGCTGGAGGACTTGTTTGCTGGAGCTAGTGTTCTGTTCAAAAGTTTGTAGACGCGCAGAACTAGGAGGGAGCGTGACACCGAGGGAGAGAGAAGGGGGCGAGGAGAGAGATGCAGAAGAAAGAAAGAGGAGGCGATGAGCTAAACGGGGAGGGGGAGCAAAGTGGCCCCAAGTCCGCCAGGAGAAAGAAGCAAGTGATTAAGGAAAGGAGAGGAGGTCTAAGAAGAAGGGAAGGAAGAAAAGGGAGAGGGCCGGCGACGCAGCCGGCCTCGGCGGAGCCGCGGGTCAGGCAGCCGCGACAGTCCGCAGCGCCTTCTCTGCTCCGAGGTCCCTCTGGCTGCGTCTGAAGCTGCGGCTTCTGCTGCTGCTGCTGCCGGAGACCGGCCTTCTGCTTGTATTTATAAGTGCAGTTAGCAAAAATCTATCCGAACATGGTTTTAGGAGAGCCCTCTTTGTCCACATCTGTCTGCCTATTGCCTTTAAGTACAGAATATTTGGTTGCACTGTTGCGCTCCGATTTTTATTCATGAAATGACTTCCCTTTTTTTTTTTTTTCAGTCACGTAATGATCGGGTATCAGAAAAAGACGTCAGCATCCTAGTCCCTCAAGGAACATATTAACTATTCTGTGCTGTCCTCTTGGATGATAAGATCCGGAGTCATCGACTTCTCATAAACACCTTTCACTCATACAGTCCAATTTTTAAGAAGTCCAATTATTTTGATGGTTTTCAATTTCACCCATTTCTCAAGGACAGGTAAAGACTTTGTAGAATTTCAAGGATGGTAAAGTCGTGTTTTTACCTATATCCTTACTATTTCTCTTCACTTTTTCCTCAAGCCCCACCAATCAGAGCTCTGGTCTCTGGAATTAAGCACCATCAAGCTCTCCTATTAATAAATTTAATTTAGTTCTCCTAATTTCTTGCGTATGTTCTTTCAGATAGACCATTAAATGTGGAAGTCGTTTTGTGTTTAAAGGGAAGTCTTGGAAGATTTTCAGTAAATCGCTAATGAGTCTGGCTGCCTTGGACAGTCTGGCTATGATAGATTGATTAGAGGCAAAGCTGGTCCCAGGCAGAGGCCTGTGGAGCTGTCCAGGCTCTGGGTGCTGAACTGCTTGGTCACAGATGCTACAAACCTTGAAAATTGCCACTGGTTTAATATTGTCCCAGAGCCTCTAAATCTAAAGATTTGGCAGTGGTGCTATTAATGTGGCGATTTATTGTCTAAATCACCCCACCATTCAGATACACCCTCCCCCTTGCAGTGTCTGTGAACACCCTAAGGCTGAGAATGGTCTGATCCCTGCCTAGATTTGAGTAAAGACCGTTCTGTGTCTCCCATTAGTCCTTGTCTGGGGCATTCTAGGTTGCCTGTTGGGGCACCATTACACTCTCTGTGGATCTTACTAACTTTAAAAATTGAAATTGTTAAATTGTGTTTTCCACAAGAATTGAAATTTTAAGAATTTGGGGGTGAGAAATACATTTTTCCCCCGCTTTATTTACACCTTGAGCTCTGTTTGTGGAAATACAAGCAGGCTGGGAAAGCACAAAGATTCCCAGTACAAGTTCACTTACTGATGGTTTCTAACGGGAATCCCTCCTTTGGGAATGGTTAAATTTTTTTAACTGAAAATGATATGGCAAGAGGAAGGCAATCAGGGAAGACCACACCTACCCAAAGACTTCCAAGTCCCTGAGTAATTTAAGAAGATTCGTAAATTTCTACTCCAGTAAGAGAACTCTGGTCTATTTTAAAAAGGAAATAGAGCCATCAATAACCATTAGTGTGCATTTTAATTATTTGGATCTTACACAAAAATTAGAGGAAATGACAATTTGGTGGGAGGGTTTCCTGTTACTATGATTTGGATCCAACACTTAAATAAGCTATATTCTGCATGCTTTTTCCAAGACATAATGTTTCTCATTCTCATTACTGTTCCCACTCATATTTGAGATTTAATACTCCCTGTTTCTTAAGAAGACAAAGTTTTACTTATTCCTGGCCACGAATGACCAAAAGCTGCCTGCTTCCTCGTAGTTTACTCCTGGCGATGCCCCAGATTGCCTGCCTTCAATAAAGCTTCAAACCACACCTACTTAAGGATGTATCTCTTTGTCTCCACTGCATATGTTCGCTGATTTATGTTGGCGTGTTTACATGCATGTGCTCTGTGTTCGGCTCTGCCTGTGCAGCAGGCTGGCACACAAAGAGCCCGGAATGAACAGACTGGATAATCAAGCAGAGACGTCTTTCTTACTGAAGCGCTCAAAGCCATTACCTACTGTGGCTTTCCTGTCTTCCGCCTTCCTTCAGTCAAAGGTGAACCCCATTAAAATCCTTACTCTTTCCTCCCATGCGAATTCTGAAATGAGTTCAATCTGGAGAAATACTTGAAAATTTCCAAGACTCCTTGTACAATTCACTATTCAACTTTAGTAAAGGGAGCCACCATGTGGGGAGTTTGTTGACTTCATGGCCTATTAAAGGGGGAAAACCACAAACATGATTAACTGTGCAAGGCGGATGGCTAACTGCTGGCTCCAAGGAGCTGATCCGCACCTCTGGCTTACAAATCCTGTGCGCGCCACTCGCACTCTTCTCAGCTTAGGTACTCTCAGTGCGGAACTCCAGAATCACAGGCCCGAACCCTTTCACTGGAGTGAAAAACTAAGTAGAGAACCTGAGTCTTTGTCACTGAACTCCAGAAAAATGAAGCTTCTGAGACCCACCTATTTCTCAGCACGATCTATAAGACCCACCCAATCCTTCCCCCACAGTTCCCCAGGGGAATCGAAAATTGAACTCCCCAATGGGATCCTCTCGAAGATCTGTTGTCGATAAACCGTCTCTAATTCCACGAGTTTGGTGTCTTGCGGGCATCAAGCTTTCCTAGTCTTGAAAGTTCTGGCCCTGGGCCTCTGAGCCAGGGGCGTGGGGAAGGCTAAATGAGACTATGAACTAGAAGCCGAGGACCCGGCCAGGGGGTCCAAGAACTGCAAGTCTGGGGCTGCACTCCGCCTCTACAAACCTTCCGACGACCTATGCCTACGCCCTTTCTTCTCTCTGTTGGGTGGGGGGGAATTCGGGACAACCGAAGTTTCAAAGACCAGAACTACTCACAAGTGCCCCGGAGAGTGGGAATTTGATTCTAATCTTCGGAGGCTCCAGCGCGGAGGGTTAATACTGCATTTGGTGGGGAAGGACAGAGGGGTTGTGTCTGGGACCTTTGAAATAAAACGGCGAGGAGGAAAGGACTCATCAGCCCAAAAAACCAGGCTGCAGAGACCTGGACCCACCCCCGCGCAGACGGAGGAGGCTGAGGCCGGGGAGGCAGCCGCTGCGGGGTGCTACAGACTTGTTAATTACGAACGCAGAAGCCAACCTCGCTTCCAGTACCCTGCGGGCGGAGTCCAGGCTAGGGATCCTAGAGACCCTCATCTAAAGCTCCTTTTATGCAGGAGTATTAGGGAGGGGCAAGACAAGGGGAAGAGCTTTCCAATGTTATTGTTCTTACCCGGTTTCTCTCCCAAAGAGATTTTTATATCCTCATCTGGTGACTGAGATTAAGAGCATAAGAGAAGCCTTCAGATCATCTGCACAGAATTGAAAATGGGGGGGCGTGGGGGGTGGGGGAGGGGGAGCGTTGACAAAGAAAGGATTGGAGTGTTAGAACCTTCTATTTACAGGTAAACGCAAAGGAATTTCAAGTCTTCTTTCCAACACTCTCTCTCCCTCCCGTCAAAGTTCCCCCAGAAGACTTCCCAGGCTGGCAGGATTTCTTTCCAGGCTGTGAAAGTGAGGACTGTTGTGTTAAGTGGAATCGTGTTCAGGTTAGAAAAGTTAGAGAAGCCACAGAGATCTTCGGAGTGGAAGGTCTCGCCGTTGTCCTGTTCCAGGCAGAGTGACTGAAGGCACCTCGGAGCTGTTTGGGAATATTTGTTGGAAATGATTATTTAAAAAGACCCTGAATTTCAAGCCCGTAATGAATCAACTCTTTATCCCGTTGGTCCTTCAGATGTGAAAACAATTTTGGGTCGGAAACGGTGAGTGCTAGCTAAAAGTCAAACTAACACTTTCCTGAATTATTTTTTCCTGGTCATGGACACATCTGCCTGCCTTGAAGGTTCAACCTTGAACCCTGAATCAACACTCAATTTAAAGAACACTTTAGCCCTTGAGGAAGTGGATTTTTGTATTCAAACAAGAGGACTATGTCTGGTATATTTACTGAGAGTTTGAATTTGCACAAGGTTTCACAACATTAACAAATGCTGTAGTATTTCTATTGTCTTGTCTATCCCAGTTTCCTGCTTTGGAACCATCTCCGCTTGAGAAGGCTGCTTTTCCTCAGTTGGATGGGGATCTTCAATACCTTTTAAGTCTTGCTCCCTTCCCCTCCACCCTCATATTGCAAATCAGTGGTGAGCTAAACGCATTTTTGCCTTGAACCAGCCCAGCGAAGTGGGGCTCAGTTCCCTCTGGTAAGGAGATTTCCACGGCTTTCTTTCTGGCTCAGTCACCCATAGTACCCATAGTTTCCATGTGTTCACTTCCCTTTCTTTGGTTAGTAGCTCTCCACATTACCCTTCACCACCACTCTCTCTATGTCCCACTCCATCAGGTTTTTTTAAACTATATAAAAGGGCATGTTTGCTCAAAGCATCTTTGCACATTCCTAGTATAAATAATTCTAAATCAAGATTGAAACAGTCGTACATTCTGATTCTGTTCTTTTCTGGTCAGTACTTAGCATAAGATCCAGGCTATAATAAGCTTTTTCAGTGAACAGGTTTAATGTAAAAGCATCATCCTCTACTGTGAGTGACAAAAGTGAATTATAATCCTGTATTCAATTTCACTCTAAACTTTTTCTCTTCTGACTCCTCCAGAAAATGCAATGACTAATGACTCACTTTGTACCAATGACACCTGTAGGGAAACCCAAATGTTCTGCAGCAGAACATCATGACCATCACTTACTGAACTGCCTGCATCATGCCCTTCTGAACTCACTGTGAGGTAAAGAGCTGATGAGCCCATAGTGTGTCATGCCTTCTCTGACCTTCAGAATTTAGCGCTTCACACGGGCTGGAAACAATCAGGAAAGGAATCCTTTCCAAACCACATAAGCAAAGCATCTCTCTCTAACCTAAGAACAGAATTGCATAGTCACAGGACTAAGAAATTTTGCTGGTTGTTTTAAGACACAAAGCAGACACCCAAGAAGCAAAAACCAGGATCTAACCTTTGCTGTAGGTTTGGGCAATGCAAGTATCCCACATCTATGGCTCTTTTGAGGCCTTATTCTCTGAACATTAGTTTGCTGGGTACCCAAAATATATACTCTAGACTTCACTGTGCCAAATTCTCCCAAGATTCCCAGATCTCATCTCATCTAAAAAGTCAAAGAGAATAAAGTCTTCTCTCTACTTTAATCTAAATCCTCTACTCGTATAAGGCTTAAATGCAGGAAGAAAAACTTGGACAGATCTAGGAAACCCAATATCCCAGATAAGTATTTGAGACAGCTTCTGAAAATGTTGGAAAGGGGATCTGTATGCAAAATAAAACAAGGTTTTTGTGTGTAAATCAAAAGAGTATCTTGCTCTATTAGTTCATGACATCCCAAACTTCTGCCCTCTGGGCTTAGACTCAGCCTTGTCTATCTGTGATTATGTTTATTTGGAATAAATTTGTAGCCTTTGTTTTTGTTTGTCATTATCCTTATTACTAGCACGGTGTGGAAATAATATTTCTTGCAATTACTTTTTAAATAATCCTTTCTCTCTACCCAAATACCTATGATTTCTTTTCCCTTTTTCTTTTCTTTTTTTTTTTTTTTAGAAAACTGTCATCTGCTTGGAATATAATTGTATTTGTCATGAATTTACTATTTGAAAACTTTATTATTTCTTTAAATTATTTTAAATCCTTCCTTCCAAAGGGGCTGCATAATTTTGCTACTTAGAGGTGAATAACAGCAACAACAACCATTTATTTTATTTTATTTTATTTTATTTTTGAGACAGAGTCTTGCTTTGTTGCCTAGGCTAGAGTGAGTGCTGTGGCATCAGCCTAGCTTACGGCAACCTCAAACTTCTGGGCTCAAGCAATCCTTCTACCTCAGCCTCCCAAGTAGCTGGGACTACAGGCATGCGCCACCATGCCCGGCTAATGTTTTCTATATATATGAGTTGGCCAATTAATTTCTTTCTATTTATAGTAGAGACAGGGTTTCGCTCTTGCTCAGGCTGGTTTCAAACTCCTGACCTTGAACAATCCACCCGCCTTAGCCTCCCAGAGTGCTAGGATTACAGGCGTGAGCCACCAAGCCTGGCCAACAACCATTTAATAAACACAGTGCTAAGTGCTTGACTAGAGTTATTGCCTTTCCCTCACAACAATCTCCTTTATAGACACTATTATTACTTCCATTTCACAAATGAGAAACAGAGGCTCAAAGACCTTAGATACCTTATTTTCTTTTTTTTTTCTTGAGTTGTGTGACGTATTAGGTACCTTATTCTAAGTTACACAGCTGCTACATTGGAATGCTGAGATTCAAATTCAAGTCTCAATGATTCTAGACAGTCTTAAGGTGCGTTGCATGTTACACTGGCGTATATTCATTTTCTCTAGAGTTCTTATAAATACAGATTAATAATTTAATATCAACCTTAATCTGTGATTCAACTGAGAAGGAAATGGGTTTCTTATTAATTTTCCAATTAAAAAACATGTTTAATGTTATAAGAATCAAATGTTATTAACACAGTTGAAACTGGATAAGTTAGACTACAAACATAAGACATACTCATAGGTTTTGCTTTATAAAATAGATTTGCTTCCAAAAAACATGGGCATTCATAGTATACCAAGTAGCACTGACATGTGGACTTTGGGAAAAAAAAGAATACTAATAAAAGTACAAACAATATAGTATACCAAGCAAGTATTCTTATTTACATATACCAAGTTGTTGAAAAAGTAAAAATAAAATATTGCCACTTCAAGTCATTATTTAAAATAATTTCATGTTTAAGTATGCAGCAAAAGTTGCAGACGTATTTAAGTAAAAAAAGAAATTCAATATTTTCTAAGTTCATCATTTCATATCCATTACATCATTATCATATCTTATTAAATCATCATGTAATTCAGTACCACAGAAACCATATGATTCCCAATGAGTCAAGACTCTTGTGAGTCAAATGAGATGATGTATATAAAACTGTTTAACAAACAATACATCCCACACCAGTAGAAGGGCAGGGAAATTAGCATTTATTAAGCTCCTTCTCTGATGGCAATGACATACTCTGTGTTAACAAACACTGTCTCATTTAATCCTCTTACTGCCCTGTAAGATAGGGATGGCATTATTATCCCTATTTTTATTGATGGCTAAACTTGGTCTCATAAAGATTAATTAATTTGCCCATAGCACACAGCTAACAAATGACAAAGTCAGGTTTCAAACCTAGGACTGGCTATTTTCAAAGTCAGTATGCTTTCTCCCACCATTTGGCCTCTGTTATTACTGTATAATTGCCATTATTAGTAAGGGGAGAAGAAACATAGTTTTCCCCAAAAGCATATGATTCTTTAACACATATGAGTTTTAAGGCACTAATTTCGAAAAAATTGTTTTTGCTTTTTCCTGACATTTTAAAATAAACTAAGATAGTATGGATAAGCATCATTTCCCAAAACATTTTAAAAAAGAGAAGAAATAAATAAGGTTGCACTCAAAGGTATTTTAAAAAGTGATAAAGTTGCAGCAATTAAAAACAGTGTAGTGGGCCGGGTGCAGTGGCTCAACGTCTGTAATCCTAGCCAAGGCCAGAGGATCGCTTGAAGTCTGGAGTTCAAGACCAGCCTGAGCAAGAGCAAGACCCAGTCTCTACCAAAAATAGAAAAAAAGAGCCTGTGGTTGTGCATGCCTGTAGTCCCAGCTACTCAGAAGGCTGAGGTGGGAGGATCACTTGAGCCCAGGAGTTTGAGGTTACCGTGAGCTACGATGACACCACTGCACTCTACCTGGGGCAACAGAGGTAGACGTTGTGTCAAAAAAAAAAGAAAAAGAAAAGGAAAACCCCAGTGTTGTACTGGTGAAATAATAGATTAAATGAATAAATATAAAGTCTATAGATAAAAAAAAATAAATGCTAGCATATAATTTCTAATGGAAAGAGTAGAATACTGGAACAAATGACTATCCATCTGGAAAAAGAGAGAAATTAGATTGCTACTTCATATCCTACAACAACATCAAATATATTCAAGTGGATTAAAGGTAAATGTAAAAATCACAAAAGTACTAGAAGAAATATGTAAATAATTTTAGAATTTTAAAGAAAATTTAAAACTGCCAATTACAAAGAAACCATAAAAGAAGAGACTAGCTAAAATAGTTTTTAAGTTTTCTGTATTAAAATCAAACTCACTCATAAATTTAAATAACAAAAATTTGGGGGAAATGTTGGCACCCTTTATGAAAAATAAAAAATTCAAATTTTTAAAATATAAAGAACATTTATAAAAATCCATAAAGAAAAGTCAATCACATGTAAATGCAAAGTTAGTAAAGGACATAAACAGGTAACTCGCAAAATTAGAAATATGAATGACCAAAAAATTTACAAAAATTGTTCAAGAGAAATTTTTCTTTCTTCAAATAGACAGTTGATTGTCCCAGTATCCTATTCTCTCCATTGGAAATTACAAAATAGTGTTTATTTCTTCATATTTACATACTTAATATTTATTACCTTAATCTATAGATCTATCGATCTATTAGATGTAGTACTTGTCAAACAAATACAAATTAAAATGTCATTTTTTAACCTACCAAATTAAAACAATTTTTTATATTCTGCCATGTTGTATTGTCACACATGCTAGGAAACATGTGCTCTCAAGCCCTGGTAGCAGGAGTGTATATTGATCCAACTTTTCCAGAGAGCAGTCTGTCAATTATGCATAAATTTAACCCACGGATTTTACTCTATGAATTTATGCTGAGAAAATAAATAAGTGTGAATCTGTCCAAAGATTAACTACAGCCCTATTCATAGCACCATTGATTATAACAAGGGACATTTGAAAATAACCATAAAATGTCCCATAATAGAGAACTGATTAAATTTCTTTTAGTACATTTCTACAAGGAAATGTCATTTCTCTTGTAGCATGATAAAATGAAATGATACCGTAGGAAAATATTTAATGGCACAAGAAAATGTTTACAATATGCTGTTGAAAAGAGAGAGCTATAAACCCACATACACAATACAATACTAATATTGTAAAAACAAAACATTTATGCCTGTGCATCTAGGAGGATATATACCAAAACATTAACAATGTTCACCACTAGTGTTGGAATGATGGAAAAGAACATGGATTGTTTTTATTCTCTTTTTATGTTTATCCATTTTTTCATTAAGTTTTTTCAATGAATTTTCTATAATAAGAGAAAAAGGTATGAGATTTATTTTTAAATTATTACATTTCCAATAAAGATATACTTCCTTTTTGTTAATATTTCTTTTGTCTTATACTGGGCTAAGCATCTATCTGATTTTTCTCAACATGCTGATCTTTGACCTCCACTTGGAAGAAAAGCTAAGAGCAAACTGGGACAGAAGAAAGAAGAGAAACAAACTAGCATATTAAGGAAGCAAACTTAGCAAAGGCAAGTGTGAAAAGAAACAGCAAAAGGGAGAGCCAAGCAACACAGAAATCAGCAGTGGCTGTTTCCAGTGTAGATATTGAATCATCCTGTGTGTAAGTCATTACTGATAAGATTAATCAAATGTGTTAAATCAAATTTGTGCTGAATGAGGTTGAGCTGTGTCTTGGAAGTATAGTTTATCCTACATTATTCAGAGGTGGATCATCTAACTTGCGGTTTATTCAGAGTTTGGCTCCTTTATGATCCAATTCTCTAGTCATGCCTTGTGGGACCAAGGAGGTCCAGATATCTGATTAGCATCTCCTGACTCTCCCTGCCCCCCAATAAAGTACATCCTTTCTGTGTCAGGTTTCAGAGCTAGTTGTTATCAGGGCTGAACAATGTCTATAGCAAGCAGGCTTGGTCAGGTGCCATGTTTGTGATCATTAGTCAGAAGTTTCACGAGGTGGTGTTATGGATTGAATCGTGTCCCTCAGAAAAGATAGGTTGATGTCTCATGCTCCAGTAACTCAAATGTGAGCTTATTTGGAAACATGGTCTTTGCAGTAGTCAAGTTAAGATGACGTCATTAGGGTGGGCCCTACTCCAATGTGTAACTGGTGTCTTTATAAAAAGGAGAAATGTGGACACAGACATGCACGAAAGGAAGATTACTTGAAGACTGGAGTTAGACTGGCACAAGCCAAGGAATGTCTGGGGCCACCAAAAGCTAGAAGAGGCAAAGAAGCCTCCTTCTCCTATAGATTTCAGAGCGAGCGTGGCCCTGCCAACACCTGGATTTCAGACTTCTCATCTTCAGAACTGTGAGACAGTACCTGCCTGTTGTTCTGAGCCACCCAGTTTGTCGTACTTTGTTAGGGCAGCCCTAGGAAACTAATACAGGTGACGTCATCCCTCCCCTCTCCAAAAAAAAGTACAAATTATTCCCAAGGGGTGCTGGGAAATATCCAAGAGCCCTCTAATGTGCGCAGCTTTGAGAGTCTGCTTCTGCCTGCATGTGTAGCAAAACCGCTCCTGATTTATACACACACCATTACCCTCAACTTCCATTTTGCAGTCACTTCTCATCTTTAAACTGAGAAAAAAGGCTGGTCTTCCTCACAGGATTACTGCACAGAGTTAATACCTCACAACACACTGGGAAGCACTTTGGGAAGGAAAGGTGTATATAAACACAACAGAACCAAGTAAGATGACAACCATAATAAACACAATGACTAAAAGTGGCTACAGGGCGTAATACATTAGGCTAGTCGTTGACTCTAATACTTTTTTTTTTTTTTTTTTTTTTTTTTTTTTTTTTTTTTTTTACAGAGTCTCGCTTTGTTGCCCAGGCTAGAGTGAGTGCCGTGGCGTCAGCCTAGCTCACAGCAACCTCAAACTCCTGGGCTCGAGCGATCCTTCTGCCTCAGCCTCCCTGGTAGCTGGGACTACAGGCATGTGCCACCATGCCCGGCTAATTTTTTATATATATATCAGTTGGCCAATTGATTTCTTTCTATTTATAGTAGAGACGGGGTCTCGCTCTTGCTCAGGCTGGTTTTGAACTCCTGACCTTGAGCAATCCGCCCGCCTCGGCCTCCCAAGAGCTAGGATTACAGGCGTGAGCCACAGCGCCCGGCCAACTCTAATACTTTTTAAATGGCCTGCAATCTCACAATGCTTCTCTAGCGTGTTAAAACAGCAAACCACTGCGCCAGCCCATTGTCTGGTGCACAGACTGAGTAGTCTGCGTGGAACTGTCCGTATGGTTTATGTCCTCTTGGGCAACGGTGCATGAGGGCCATTCCCAAGAGGTTCACACAACAGACACCTAGTAAATAAGGCTGTCCTGGTGAGGCAAATGTTTTGCTAAATAAAGACAATCTCTTTAGGAAAACTGCATGGCCCAGAGTAATAGGCAGAGAATAATAGAAGGAGACCACAATGCCTTTCCGATGGAGCACCTTGAGAGTACCTGGCACACTTAGGTTCTAGATTCGGTAAAATGCACCACTCTAAGAAAGTCAGCCTTGTGTCAGTATTGTTCTGAAGGCAGGACCATCCATCTTTCCTCTCCAAATGTCCCTTCTCTAGGGACAAACACGTGTTTTAGAGCTGGAAATAATTTTACCTGTCCTCTTTTAATGCAGCATAATGTTCAGCAAACTTTTACACTTAGAGCAAGCTCCCCCAAAATGTGAAAATGTCCCATCTCCTGAGCTAAGGAACCCAGAATCATATACAATTCTGAGCATAGTAACACTATGTATAGACGCACATGAAGCAACCAGAACACAGAAGTCAACAGTTTGGCATTGTATATGCAATGTATGTGTAGTCAGTAAACCACTGCTTTATCTTCTAAAGCCAAGTCAAAATAGAAATATCAGCAAATATTTGTTAATTACCAATATTACATGTTCAAGGGGCTAGAGTAGAAACGTAAGATTTATAAGCCCTCTGCCATCAAGAAGTTTACAATCGGCCGGGCGCTGTGGCTCACGCCTGTAATCCTAGCTCTCTGGGAGACCGAGGCGGGTGGATTGCTCGAGGTCAGGAGTTCGAAACCAGCCTGAGCAAGAGCGAGACCCCGTCTCTACTGTAAATAGAAAGAAATTAATTGGCCAACTAATATATATAGAAAAAGTTAGCCGGGCATGGCGGCGCATGCCTGTAGTCCCAGCTACTTGGGAGGCTGAGGCAGAAGGATGTCTTGAGCCCAGGAGTTTTGAGGTTGCTGTGAGCTAGGCTGGCGCATGGCACTCACTCTAGCCTGGGCAACAAAGCAAGACTCTGAAAAAAAAAAAAAAAAAAGAAGTTTACAATCAAAATAACTGAGATCAAAATGCATTTTTGTACATTGTCTATTTCGTTCCTTAAGCCAGATTCTCTCCACTTCTCCATCCTACTACCCTCATTTAGGAAATACCTGCAGATGCACACAACTGCCACTAATACATTGTTCTGAAACCTCTAGTAAATATCTCAATTAAAGAAGGACAGGCTCAGCAAGTAAGACATTGCCATTCACAAGAATAAATGTTGTTGGCTAGGTGTGGTGGCTCATGCCTATAATCCTAGCACTCTGGGAGGCTGAGGCGGGAGGATCACTCAGGGTCCGGAGTTCAAGACCATCCTTAGCAAGAGTGAGACCCCATCTCTACTAAAAATAGAAAGAAATTAGCTGGGCAACTAAAAATATATAGAAAAAATTAACCGGACATGGTGGTGTATGCCTGTAGTCCCAGCGACGTGGGAGGCTGAGGCAGAAGGATTGCTTAAGGCCAGGAGTTTGAGGTTGCTGCGAGCTAGGCTGACACCAAGGCACTCTAGCCCAGGCAACAGAGCAAGACTCTGTCTCAAAAAAAAAAAAAAAAAAAAAAAAGAATAAATGTTGTGCTGTTACCCAAGATCTCAGGCAGGATTGAGAGCTATGGCAGCTTTGCAAAATCACTGTGCTTACCACATGTACTCACCAGCAAATTGGTGTTAACTGATCAACACCTAAGTGGACATGTAGGAATAACATTTATCAGCTGTTGGGCAGATGGGCGGGGGGAGGAGGGGATGGGTATATACACATATACATAATGAGTGAGATGTGCACTGTCTGGGGGATGGTCACGCTTGAAACTCTGAATCAAGGAGGGGGGGCTAGGGCAATATATGTAACCTTAACATTTGTAATCCCATAATATGCTGAAATAAAAAGAG